CTCGTAATAGACGGACTGGACGAGTGCAGCGAAGGAGAAATAGCGACGCTGGTACAAGCGGTGAGGGACATCCAAGCAAAGCTAAAGGTCTTTGTGTGTGCGTCTTTCCGGGTAGAGCCAAACAAGGGTCAGTGAAATCCCTGTATGAAGTGTATGCGAGGAGAATACTGACCTGGTAAACGCAATTTTAGGTCTACAGTCGATGACACGTCGCCTCCTGGATGCCCGCATAGTTCAGTTACCGGAGAGCAACCCAGACATCGAGACCTTCATCGAAGCGGAGCTCTATCGTTGTCTGGACGAAGATCTTCTAACGCTCAGAGATTCTACACTGATATTGGACATCCAAGAGTCGCTCCTTCAACGCTCGCAAGGCATGTTCCTTTGGGCGGCTCTTCAGATCCAGTCTTTGTGTAGTATGAAGACTGATCATGCCATCCGCGAAGCCCTGGCAGACCTGCCCAAAGACCTTGCGCAAACCTTTTCCCGCATCTTACACAAATCAGGAGCCTCGGATCCGTCGCTCCAAGCAAAGATACTGGAGGTCGTATTGGCAGCTTGCCGACCTCTGACGACTGAGGAGTTGAGAGAAGCCTTAAGCGTCGATCCCGGACATGCAGTATGGGATCCGTCTAAGATGTTGAACGATGTGCAGTCAGCCCTAGCCTGCTGCGGATGTCTTCTTACTGTCGATGAGGAAGAGTCGACTGTCCGAGTCATACATCACAGCGTCAAGCAATACATTCTTCATGGTCTTGACGACGTGAAGTACATGGGTTTCTCTGTTGGAAGAGCACACGGAACGTTGGCGGATATCATTGTTACCTATCTTGGGTACGGTGTTTTCGAAACCCAACTTGAGAGAAACCATGCCCATCCGATCTTAGCACAAGCAGTGCCGTCTACGGTCATGCGAAACACCGTGGGCGGCTCGAGCTCCGCTCGGCAACTTGCTATGAAGCTTCTCAAGTCCAAGAAGCAACCCGCATTTGACTTGAGCAAGACGGTTGCTGAAGCTCGTGGTCATTCGTACTCTGAGCCCCAGGACGGATTCAAGTTCTTTGGTTATGCGAATACCAATTGGCAGAATCATATTCCATACGTTACAAGTCGAGCTGATGCTATCTGCGAACTTGCAACTACACTGATTCGGAGTCGATATCCAGAGCTGGAAACGACGAATGCAGATTCTGATTTGTATTGGAGCTTCGCTGCCACCACGCATCAAGATACAAGAATTCTCGAATTGCTGATGCTGCAATCTCAGAAGATGAAGCTGTGTGCACAAAAGACATTGGTGTTGCTAGTGAGAACCGGAGACAAGGACACTATCAAAGTACTACTGAACGCTGGCGTTGATGCAAATAGCAATCGCGACGGAGCACCTCCGATAATCGTTCTGGCAGCGAGCAATGGAGACAGTATCATGATTAAGTTCCTACTCAGCTTCAGTACGGTTGACGTCAATGCGGGCGACTGGTTCGGGGATACCGCAGTGAAAAAGGCCGTAGAGGTGGAAAACGAACACATCATCAAGCTACTTCTCAGCTCTGACAGGATAGATGTCAACGTGAAGAACAATATCGGGAACACTGTATTACTGCAGGCCATAGACACTGGAAATGCGGGCATTATTAAGCTATTGATCGACGACGATAAGATTGACGTCAACGCGCAAAGCAATTCTGGGAGTACAGCACTACTCAAAGCTGTGAAATATGGAGATGAGAAGATCGTCAGACTGCTACTGGGTATCCGCAACATTGACGTCAATGCGAGAGACATAGACGGGAAGACTGCATTAATGCACGCGACGTGTAAGAGGAACAAGGACATGATGAAGCTGCTGCTTGGAAGCAAGAGCGTCGATGTTAATATCAAGGATGATACTGGAAGAACGGCGTTACTAGATGCAGCAAGTAAAGGATACAGCGACGTAGTCAAGCTGATGCTGACAAGCAAAAACATCGAAGTCAACACAGCGGACAATACAGGGTGGACGCCACTGATGTATGCAGCATTCCACGGAAAGATAGAAGTGGTCCGGCTGCTTCTTACTAGTCGCAAGATAGACGTCAATGTGAAGGGGCAATATCACGTTACGGCGTTGACTTTAGCGGTAAGCAAGAGTCATCAAGATGTTGTTGAGCTGCTGGTACTTTCACGCCACTAGGGTTAGCTACAATTCATATCGCACGTTGCTGAATACATATTACCAAATCCTGATAACCTGTCAGTCTCCAAGTCAACGTAGACGTCTAGCTTAACCGTATAGTCAATACTACCTAGGTATGTTTGTAGAATGCTTGCGACACGGATGGTAGCTACCTCTATCGGCAGCAAAAGTCAACAGCAGCGGCTTAAGCAGCTTGCAACAAGCAGACGTTTCTACGGTTATCAAAGACTCTTTAACATTCATGGTCACCACATGTGCGAACTCAGCGCGTCTTTAGATACCACTACTCTAGATACATCAACCCGCTCGCAAACATTTGTGCTCTGTATCCACGGGCAGCTGCATATCATTCTCTTAGTGTCTCTCAATGTATTGATCACGCCTTGACCATGGATCGCAAAACTGAAAGTCAGCATAATACCTTCTAAACTACCTAACGGCTAGAAGCTAGGACTAGCGACCCTGAAGCCTCCTGTTCGTCGACCCTATATACCGTCGCAGGTGCAAGCTAGACTGTCGACGTTTCAACCAAGGCCAGAATAATCGCTGGCTCCAAAGACGGCATGTTGTAGGCAATCTCTGATCACGTGTCTTGATCATATTGGGAACTTTGCAAAGTAACCCATTGTTCAGATACTGTATTTTGTCACTGGCGGTAAAAGGTTGACGTTGGCGATGTTGCGTGTTGATTGAGGTCCCTGCGCCGCTACCTGGCGAAGACGATGAGAAAGTCCGTCGCATCCTAAGGTCTCGTTCACCGTCAGGAGCAAAGGTTAACTGCGCGTAAATTATATCACGTGGCTTCTTTTCAGGACACATGGTATCACAGAGACCTTACATGGGCCAAGCAAGCAAGCAAGGTAACTAAAAAGTATGTGATATCTTGCTGCATACATACTATCAAATGTTTGAAAGTGAGCAGCTCCTAAGATAATGTAGACATCTAGCTATGTAGTTTGCTTGATCGTTTTTTTCCAATGCGACACAAAGTGTAGCTGCCCCTAGTAAGACTTACTGAGTGATCGAGATTGTATGAGATGTATGAAGGTAACTTGTGATTCGAGATTCTAATTGAACTTGAGTAATATAGAGTGCATTTCAAGTCGGGTCTCCGCTCTCTTGTTACCGACTGAGCTCGATTCAACTGGCTATCGGCGATAAGACCAGTTGCTCGTCAGTGGCTTCGACTGTCTGCAGACTGGGTATCCTGAAGAGTATCAGGTCCTGGGCCGTTGGCTTTCCAATTCTGATGCTCGAAGCCATCCCTCGAGTTTCCAAATCCATATTTCGGCACATCTTCATTTCATGCTTGAGGTCATGCCTGTGATCGCGACCCAGAGGTATAATCTTCAGTGGGGGCCCCGGTCGGGTGCTTAGCGCTAGTCGTGTGGTGTCCCATTCATACATCGTGTAACTCACGAAGTCGTCATCATCGTCGTCGGGAAACAACATTCGTATGCTGATTTCGTAGGTCCTTTTCCGTTCCATTCTTCTCAAAGTGTGCCCTACGAATGGATGCAGTTCCTCGGCTGTGCACTCTCTTTGATTGTAGACCTTACTATCATCGCCCAGGCTAGGGTTCTGAAGCAGTAGCGGCAGGATGATTTTGTTGTACCAGGATGCGAGGACGAGACTGATGAGTTTGGTTCCGTTGTCGTCCCCCGGTTTCTGGGGTTGGGCTAACAATGTACTGCGTTGTCTCCTAGCCTCGTGGAAGATGTCTGATATTAAGGTGAACATAGCCTCCCTTGCGGCAGACCTAGGTACTGGGCCGATTGTAACTTTAGGGGACTTCTGCATATTCCTCGTCCTCAAGTGTTGTTGAGCCTCGTCGAGAATCGTCTTGTTCACTTGAAGTAGGGCGGTCGGCATTCGAAGTTCTGCCCAGGTGCCGATACCTGGCGTGGGAAATACATGTTTGAAAACACGCTTGGGGAAGTAGTCGTAGATGTAACAGCGCAGTTCGGTTGGTAAGGCCATCAACAGAGACTTATCTGTATTCTGAATGGTGGATGCGGCCATCTGTGGGCTTAGAGAGTAGATTCGTCCTTCGGCCGGCGTTGTTTCTCATGTGCAGTATCGCTGGTGTTGAGGGCGGCAGTGAAGACGGAGATGAAGACGAGGACGCTGTTTTATACTCATTGAAAATTTGCTGTTGCAGTCATTTGGCTGACCCATTGGAAATGCTCGATACCACAGTTATCGGTTTGTTGCTATGATCCGTGGTTGGCCTATGTTGTTCGCGGGCGAAGCAGCACCAATCCATGGGTTAGGATTACCATCGACTTGACTGCGATCACGCAGAGCGGAACGAGCCACTTACATCTGGTGCAATACCAATAAGCTAGGAGATTAGACAACTCAGGGATGAGAGAAATCGCAAGTACCCAGGTGTGATACTCTCAGAAAAGATGGTTTCCAGCTATTCTGGGGGTGCTGACTACCTAGGTAGTTTTGCAAACTGGCGAGGCTGTCATGCTCCCAGTGTTGAGAAGGTTCGGAACTATCATACGTGGTAGAAGGGCTTACAATAGGAGATTACACTGCGGCGGCTTGTTCGAAGACAAGGTGCCTAGGTGAACTTTCGAGGTGGGCTTATGATGGTGTGACTTGTGATTCCGAAGTTCCGAACCTTCGGGAGATTGGCAGCCAATCAGCACGTGCTTTATAATCGTGTCAAATTGCCCCGGAAATCGCCGCAGATGACATAGGCTTCGGCGAATTTAGTGACAATGCACCAGCCGTACCTTGCCATCTATTCACTCAACACACGCGCCTTACCAAGTCCACTCGCAGCACTCCTTGGACTTCTCGCCCTTTGACCATGTCGCTGCCTCGAACCACGACTGCCTTTGCGCGCTCCAGCTCGACATTCCTACGATTCGCCGCTCCCTCGGCTACTCCCCGCAGATGCCCGCAATGCGCGCGCACTTTCGCCTCGTCGATACCGTATCGGCAGTCAGCTAAGCGTCAGATGCAGACGGCGACTGCCTACCACCCTTCTTCGCTATACCCTCAGCCGCCACCAAGGAATGCTGGCGTACCCGACACATCGATAGCAGGTGGAGCCGAGGCAAACAATGCGAAAACCCCACAACTGCCACCGCAAGAACACATCCCAGCCACACCATCCGAGCAACCGAACGTGAGCATACCTGAAGGAGAAGCACAGAAGCCACAGCAGGCAGCGGGCGCCAGCAAGCCGTTACGGCCGCGTCGCTACAACTTCGGGCCACGGAAGGCCACCATTAAGCTTTCACAGTCGGCAGTATCTCACCTCCGCGAACTCCTTGAGTTACCAGAGCCCAAGCTTATCCGGATTGGCACAAAGGCAAAGGGCTGCTCGGGGTTAGCATATCACTTGGAGTACGTGGACAAGCCAAGCCCGCTGGATGAGCAGGTCGAGCAGGATGGTGTCAAGGTCCTGATCGACAACAAGGCGCTGCTGAACATCATTGGAAGCGAGATGGACTGGCTGGAGGACAAGTTGAACGAGCGATTCATCTTTAAGAACCCCAACATCAGTAAGTATCGACACAAGATGCTACGAGAGACCAAGACTAACATTTCCTAGCGGAGCAATGTGGCTGCGGAGAGTCCTTCAGCGTATCATGATACCCTTACGATTCGATCACTATACCTTATAGAAGCATTCCCGGCGTTGCATCTTCGGCGTTACACATACATATGACATAATTCGAATATCATTACCACCACCGGTAGCACGATTGCTACTTGGCCTCTCCACGTACTTGCAATACACTCGCGACACTACCATTGCAAGTTCAACAACAGCGCTGTCTGGAGACCATCGCACCTGCACGAGTTGGCAGCATACTTGTAGCTCTGGGTGCCAGTGGCATCCTTCATTCGTTACTGAAACTACATCTACATCTTCCCTGGCTCGTAATCGAACACTTTCACGCCATTCGCCACCTCTCCAGCAAGCTTTACAAACTCCTGATGGGCAGGGTCTTTGTATACATAGTAGTCGCGGTCCTCTTCATTCTCGAACTCAACTACGAAACCATGGGTTGAGTTGCCCTGTGCATGTCAGCATGTGTGAGGGAACTTAGGGACATGGCATACGCTATGGCCTTCAGGGCTGTTGTTCTTGCCCCCTGAGAAGGACTTGATGTATGGCTTCTGGGAAGTTGGATGAATGCACTGGTCTTTCAAGCCGAGCATGCGGCTACAAGCCTATGATGTATTAGTATGAATGATGTATGTTTAGATCAACATGGAGGTACTTCTGAGATTTGCTCTGGTGAAGCTGTGGACTTCCACTCGAATAGTACAATGCGAATGATCGTCATCTTGAGAACAAGTCAGTACCAACAACTGATCAGGACGCGAGGAGTGGTGATGTAGGGAATGGCTAAAGAGGGGCATTTAACATGGCGGGTGATACTTCGGATATAATGACCTCAGCGCTGCTAAGCTCCGGGCGAGCTGCCGCGTCGCATGGTCGATAGCGCGAACATGGCGAACTGCAGGATCACCACCAGACATACCACACCATTGCGAATAATGAAGCTACGACCGTCATGACCCCAGAAGGATACAATATTCCCAATTAATAGCTCACGATCAACTCGATCCTCAAGCAGCCGCCGCAGCCCTCCACATCCACCATGTCGAATGCGCCAGCTCTCCCCGAGCAACTCATCTACCTCATCATACGCTTCACAGCTTCAGTACCAGACCTCCCACTCTCAATACATACCCCACGAACAATTGCGACCCTCTCCCTCAAACAGCTCATCCGCCAGCACCTCCCATCCGAACATGCCTCCGTGCGCCTACGCCTCATCTACGCGGGCAAAGTCCTCGCAGACACCGAGCCACTATCGAAATCCCTACGATTACCACCCCCACCGCCTCCTCGGAATACCAAGAACAGTGATGCAGTGGGAAGCGGCACCGGCGAAGCCAGCAAGAGCAAAGGCAAACAACCCCTACGAGAAACGCCCGCGATCGAATACGGCACAACAACAGACATACCCCCCTCAGCAAAAAAATACTACATCCACTGTTCCCTCGGCGACGCGCTCTCCGCCCCCGAACTCGCCAGCGAAGCCACACTCGCCCAGAACATAGAGATAGCGTTGAAGTCGCATTATAGTACATCTTCGTATCCTACGCCCGGACGGCGCGCAAGCGGTACGACTATAGATCACAATGCACGCAGACGTAGCTCGACGGCTACGGCGAATACGGCGAATACCGTGCCTCAAGCTCAGGGCTTTGATAGATTGCTGAGTTCGGGGTTTACGAGGGATGAGATTGCTTCGCTGAGGGCGACGTTTACGCAGAACTTGTCTTTTACGCATACGCCTGATACTATGCCTACGCCCGCACAGATCCGCGTCTTGGAAGATCGATGGCTGGATTCTTCCGCTAACGATCCCTCTGCTTCGCTTACAGGTGGCGCTGCGGGGGCTGGTGGTGCTGGCACGGATGCGGGCTGGGGCGCGGGGTTCGCGGTGGAAGAAGGTGGGTTGGACGATATGCTGTATGGGTATCTGACTGGCTTCTTCTTTCCGCTGGGAAGTTTGGTGTGGGGCTTTAGGGAGGAAGGTGTTTGGACGAGGAGGAGGCAGGTTGCTGTTGTTATGGGGGTGGTGTTGAATGCTGTTTTTGGGTTTATGCGGTGGGGTGGGTAGGTATGATAGGAGGAGAGGAGAGGAGGGGTTGGTACGAGAGAATGACGAGGATGGTGTATTGATACCGGTGCGTTGTATACCTGGGGAGGTATCTACGTCCACGTCTAGGTCGCGATTATGAGTCTTGTCGTTTAAATGACGCGTTGGAGACAAAGATGCTTCTCCTTCTTCCTTCCTCATGTCTAACCTTGCTCTTCCAATGCGATCCATCCCAAGCTATCCCCACATACCCCACCAACCAAGCATTCTCATGCTACCGACTCGCATCTCACTTCTATACCGTCAGTCAACCTGAGAGATCGCGCGACATGACAAGCAGCCACATACCTGAGCTTGCTCAGCAGTAGGCACACCGCCAAACTGCATGGGAACGGAGCGAGAATTCGAAGCCCAAATAGGAGCATACATATTCTTGATATGCGCGCCGCCGCTGCCAATGTTCAGCGGCGCTACAATCTCGCCAGTCATGCCTGTAAAGCGTGAGTTCTTGCAACCTTGCGCCCATTTCGCATATGTGTGTCGGACTTACCAAGTGAGTAGAATCCCTCTTGACCTGTGTTTGCCTGTCGCGCGTTCCTGAGCGCCTTCTCGATGACATTGGCTTCTTGACGTTGAGCCAGTCGCATGTGCTTGAACACGGAAATGATGAGGTCGTTGATGGCGGGGATGTAGAAGGATGTGATGGAGTAGAAGATTATCAGAATGACCATGAGGGCGAGGAAGACCATGAAGGCCAGTTGCGGGAACATTGCTGTGTCCATTTTGGGAATCGCGTTTGTGGGGTGGGGTGCGAGAGGGAGTGGTGTGTAGAGTTGGTGGTTTGGGAATGGCGTATGTGAGAGGGGGAAAAGCTTGAGCTTTGTTGTCGCAATAATGAGGGAAAATGTTTGATATCCTGAAATGTGGTCGCGACATCTTTGACTATATGAAGGTTATCAAACTCACCGTTATTACATGGAAATTTTGTCTGAGAACAACGGGACAAACATATTTGGACATTGTCTCCCATTATTGGCTTGATGAGCACCACATGCTAAAAGATCTTAACACCTACCTCAGAAGTCTACATTGCCTTTAAATCATGCTAATTTCGCATTTCATGTTAATGTATACAGCTGCGCAACTTTTCAGCCTTTTCGTTGAATTCGGTGACACACTAAAACGACATCGACGTCGCCAGCACCGATATTCATATCGAAAATGCGAATCTGCTGATGTCGAGTTTGTTCAACACATGAGAGAGTCAGATGTTCAGCTTTAGTGCTGGAGTGGTCTTAGTTTAGGAAAGTTCCTGTAGCGTGCCAGCAGCGTTTCAACGGCGTCATGCAAGCGCATGCACTACGCATGTGTGGCGCAGACGCTATTGTTTCCACCATCTGCGTTGTCGACGTCCTGCAATGCAAATGCAACAGGGCTACCATGGTGATGAAGGGTAAATTGGGGAGCCGGTGGTGCAGTGGCCTGTGGTAGGCAAGTAAAGCGTCTTTGGATAATGTTGATAGGGGCAACCTGCGAATACCGTGAGTAACAGTTTAGCGTGTCAACAATGAAAATGAAGCAGTCACCAAGTAGAAGACGATTCATGGGTATTATAGTAAGTCTGATTGAAAGCTGGGGGTATCTATGCGACAGGTCCGTGATCCATCAAGAATGATTTCCTCTCCACGACCCTTTGGCATCCATCTCTCTCAGACTGTACAAAACAAAAGGAAAAACTGTTCGCTCAAACTCCATGCTTGCTGTTTCGTTCATTACCGCATCCATCTTCCTTGCTCGATACCGGGGGTATAGTATAGGGTATAAACATCCACACTCTCTCTTCCGAAAAAGAGACAATCGCGCTCCGTCCGTTCCTCTGCGAAGACTACGCGGCGATGTGTTGTAAACGTATCGTATCGTCGTGTGGTCCTGGCAGTGGAGAAGTAACGGCCGTCGAGCGATCGTCGTTCGTCGTCGTAGTAGTAGTTGGGTAGTAGATATAGCGCCTTAGTAGTACCCGTATCTCCTCATGCGCCATCCTTCACAAGGGGAAGTAATGATCAGTACGGCGACATGTGGGAAACGGGTTCACACTAGACTCTACTAGTATGCGTTGTCCTCTTTCGGCCGCCGCCGCGTCCGCAGGTGAGGCAGCTGATGATGATGCCGAAGAGGGAGACGATGGCGTTGATGATTGCCTTAAGACCAGCAGCGATGGCGTTGACAATGGCCATGATGCAGTTTCCGATGGTGCGGAACTAGAAAGCGGGTTAGGGACAGTTTGTATAGGCAGGCAAGTGAGGGCTACGTACGACCGACTTAATGCAAGAGACGACGGCACCCATGATAGCGGTGTTGTTCTGGTGAAGGCTTCGGTGGTGTAGTGGATGGAGGACTCGAGGTAGAGAGGCGACTGTTCGTAGGTTCGTTGGTAGATGGTATGGTTTGGGGAGAGTGTGGTATCACAACAAAGGGCTTTGAGCCCTCTCACTTATAAGCAGCCGCGAGCCAGGCGCCGGAACAACGACCGCCCTTGCACAACGGCTACGTCACGCGGAGTCCGTGCCCCCTTGTCCTCCAGATCCTTCACCTCAATCTTTGGCCTGCGTAACGAAATTTCCCGACTCAAACTCCATTCCTGCAGGTGACTGTGCTGCGTCTGCAAACAGCCAAGCTCGCAACGTCAGCGGGAAAAGTCAGGTTTGCGCCAACCAAGCCGCCCGATGCGGCAGGGATGGGCGACGGACGCGCTCAAAGCAGTCGCGCAAAACAGGGTTGGCCCTGCGACATCGACGTCGGGTGTGGGTCGCGCGCCACAACCTTAAAGAGCGCCGACGTCACTGCCCGTCCCTGATGCAGCAGCGATCGCAGCCTGCGCGTGGCTGGGCCCATGGGCAACGCAATGCCCGCCTCTCACGATCGCGATGACTTTGCCATGGCAGCCCCCGAAGCAGGTAGACCGACTTTTGATAAGCCCATGCTGCTGATTTGGTGCGGCCACACTACCGCTGCTCGACGTTGTGCGACGCCAGACCACCGTTATCGTGCCAACCACGCCTGCCCGCCCACCTCCTTCTCCTCACCTGTAGCCATCATCCACCCATATTTGATCACCCCAGATGCTCTTATCCGGCATGGCTCCACCGTTGCAAGATTCCATGTCCGTGTCCGTAACTGTGACGTAGCCATCTGTGGCGGCCCATCTAATTCTCTTCCGCATCCTTGCAAACAACAGCGGCTCCAAATCTCCACCCAACCCGTGCTGCCTCTTCTCCAGCCGCTCTCTCGCCTCGCTGATGAGGTGACGCCACAGCTCAAACACGCGTGCGTGGGTCATCCACCCATATTGGCATCAGTCCGTCAGGCAATCTCAGCAAACAGGGCAACGGCACGCGGGCCACATGGGTTTTCGTCTCAACGTCTCACCACCTTTTCGCAAACCCATGTTATCATCCGTACCGCGGGAGCTAGTCTTTCCAAGCAACTGCAAGTAAAAATCGTGGTCTAGACTGCCCGGTCGCATGCTCATATCGCTTGGAGGCCATGGCATCTTTCCAAGGCATCTGCTGGAAATAGCACGGCTAACCTGGCACATCGGAATTAACACCAAAACACGATCTTGGATCGGTCCCTCGATGCCCAGAACCGCAATCTTGCTTTCAATCTCCATGTCCCTCTGTCGTGGAGATTAGAGATTAAGCAGAGCGGCTGGGAGCCGACAGACATGGCTCATGGGCGTTTCAGGATTTATTGTTTTGCACCCATGTTTGCGGTGAGAAGGTTTAGCGCTGGCGTTGTCCCTTGGTCTGGTGTGGCTGGTGACGCGCCGTCGCAATGTCTGACATCGGACTTCTGCGCACAAGGAGCGGGCCGCCGGTCGACGCTCGAGGAAAAAAGTTGGTACAAGTGGAGTCTAACCGGCCAACACCACACATCACGCATGCATGCACCAACCTCACCAAAGGTAGCATAGCCCACCATCAGCGACGCAGTGTTTCATCATCATCGTTGTTCCATTATGCGCATTGCCACTCCTGCCTTCGTCTAGCTACTATCCGGCTTTGTTCGTTATTCATACACTTCGTAAACATGCCGTATCCAACATCCTAAATCAAGCGCCGAGATGCTCTTTCTCCCGTCGCGAAGCCATGCAGATACTGCTAACGTCATGCTGCTGAGGAAAATGGAAAAGGAAATGTCGTCTGCTTGTTGCTGTGGGTATATGGGTTGTTGTCGAAGAATCATGGGTATTCATTGCTGATGCTGCGTTGAAAGACCAATACAGATGTGCCGAAGCGATGTTCGATGATCGATGCGATGTTTACGGGAATTCGTTGAGCTCTTCACCTCATACAAGAAAGACCCCGAACAGGTCAAGAGCATACGCCGACGTCAGGTCACCTATCTCGTAGGTTTTCAGGTTGATGTAGGCTGCAGGCCTGTTCGGTTTTTTTCTTGGTTGACGTGTCTTCATATACCGTCGTATCATACTGGGTAAGCTGATCAAAAGCTGTTGCATGAGGATGTACTCGGCGTATAGGTCTCTGCTGCTGTTGATGTCGGTGGTATGACTGCTCCGTATGATACTGGGCTCAGTTTGCAATTTTGTTCTTCGGAACGGGAGGTACAGTAGTCTCCTCGGTGATCCTAGTATCCAGTCTGGGCCTTGAGCTCGATCGTGAGACTAATCTCATTCGACTTGTTGCTTGCTTATCCGGGGTGACGACGTTGCCTGCGTCTGAGAGCGCCGAAGAAGAAAGAGCTGGAGTCATGGGCCCCTCAGCATGAATGCCAAGTGGACTTGGATACGTATCGATCGTCTCATGACTTTGCTTGGGAGTCTTCATATGAGCTTCGCTCAAAGCCCTGTGGCGTCCGGGACTCATCGAATCGCTGTACCCGTGTCTGTTCCAGTTGGGGCGATGCAGGCGAGCCGCCTTGGGTAGACTTGAGTAAGATGCTTGCGACTGGAGAGTTGCACTCCTGTGCCGTTGGGCGGGCCGGTCTGTGGGAGTATCGTGACTTTGCTCAGGCAGCAAGAGTTCGGACGTCGCATGATCGCTGTCCATCTCTCGCATGAACTCGTCATCCTCGTCCTCAACCTTGGCTATCCGCTTCACATGTCGCACTTCAAAGTACGGTGTCTTCGGCAACTCTGGCATCGAGTTAATCGACACCGCACGTGGTCGCGGAGTGTCTTGCACTGCGAGATCGATATGCGCAAAGTACTTCTCACGCATCGGGTTCCAGCTCAACGGCGCCATTTGTTCGCGGTTCCGCAAGATGGACAGGTAGCTTGAGACAGCGCCGACCAGGATCAAAACCATCACAGCCACCGTCAAGAGACCTTGAATGACGATTATGATGATGCCGATAACGGTTGTAGGGATACGAGCGATTCCAAACCGTGTATCAAAGGCTGCCGAAAGACCTGTAGTAGTAATCTTGCTAAAGCCGAGAAGATACACGGCCAAAACGTTCAGGCGCTGTCCTTCGAAGGGGCGAAGGATAGTGAAGGCGATGAAGGCAACAATCTCAACGACAAGTAGACCGAAGACCTGGACGAAGGGCTGAGTCGATGCGCCGGCAAGGAAGCATGCCCGAAGGAATTCGTAGAACAGCCAGACGACAAAGAACCACCAACGAGTCCTCCTGTAGCGAGAGGCCAACCAACCAAATTTTGTTGTGTACCGCTCGTCATCATGGATTGATGTGGTATCCGCCGTAGCGTGTATCGTCCACCAAGGAATTGAACCGATGTAGGTCTCGTCTTCGGAGCGCGGATTTTTGCTGTTTCTGGAAATGCTGAACCATGGGATGATCTTGTGCAATCTTCGTTTGACTACGTTTAGTCGATCGGGTTCCGAGGCATACTTGCCAATTCGAAGTCTGGAGAAACAAGCGTAGGCGGCGATGCTGCCTATGCCAAATACTACGACGAAGAAGGCAGCACAAGCGACTGCAACAGGACCGGAAAGAGCGAGGTAGGAGAACTGGAACATGGCCAGGAATGTCAGCATGTAAAATCCGATGAAGATTGTCCGCAGGATGGTCGACAGAGCAAAGGCAAGGTAATGGCTTCGGAAAAAGGCGAGGCGGTCCTTTCTGACAACGCGTATGCTACTCAAGCCTTCGAGGACAGCTTTCAGTGAGAGTACAGAGACAACACCACATGCGATCAAGATTAAGAACCAGAGCAGTCCGGTCATGAAGGCGTTGCTTGCCGGGATGTGTTCCGTCGCAAGGGTACCAGCAAATCCAGAATAGTTGCCCGGAAGTGGCAGTCCAGGCTTTACGGGCAGCCCGTAATATTTGAATCCGCTATTCACATCGACGAGATGGCGCTTGGCTAGGGCAGCTTGGAACTTCAGATCTTGAGGAATAGCGTCTCGTTTGTATATTTGGTGGATGTCGACCCCTCCTCCAAGATGAGGATTGCTTTCGCCCGTACCTGCGGCGCCGACATGCGATGTATTTCCTTTGTTCGAGCCGATGAAATCGTTGATCGTGTTCTGCATTGACTCGGAGTAGATCATACCCCCAGCCCAGGCATAGTTGCTCCAGAAGGCCACGAGGACGCTCGGCCAGTTCACTGATAACGCCCCGCTGTATAATATGTGGTGCCATACCGCGAAGACCACAGACACTGACAGCGAGTGGGCGTAATGCTTGCGCATGTCGACGATGTTGGATCCGTAGGCGGCTGTAGCGAAGGAGGAAACGACGGCTATGAGAGTGAATAGCCCTAGCGTTGTGCCCACTGAGCTCTTTTGCTGGAATGTGAAGCCATTGGTGATCTGGGCCGCGAAACAGCCGATCTGTCAAGCTGTTAACACGAATACGAATAGTAAGATGTCTGAGCACCGCGTTGGCAAAGCATAGCAAGGGAGCTACATACTAGTAATAAGTTAGCAAGATATCTTGAGAGCTATTCGTGGCGGCTACTTACCCTCGTTCTGTGTGGAGTTGGAGAACAGTCGCAGGATGGCCTGGCCTTCGAAGTCGGGAATGCTCAACGCAATCTCTGGGATCCCTGCGACGTCGTCTTGATTGATTGGTATGATGCCCGCCGCCTCGATGGGAACGCCGGCTTTGACGGGGCAAGCGCTGAGTATGTTGGCGTCGCAAGGGTTGAAGGTCAGGTCGAATCGACTCTCGCCGTACGCATAAACGCCGATATTCATCATAATGTCTTCTCTTCGGAGCCCAGTCTCGCCTTCCAGGTGAAAGATGATGGTCATGTTGTCTTTGTAGTAGGCTGCGTCGAACCGTGTAACGTTGATGGCGCTCTTGCCTAGGCAGTCGCCATAGTCGGCAGTGTAGAGAGATGGCTGTCTGTCGTCTCTGACTTGCCATTTGTCGCCATCGATGATTCCAACCACCCATGTACCGTCATCGTCTACGTTGACGGAGCCGGCCGGAGACAGTAGCAGCAGGCCAGCTGCCAACAAAGCTTGGGCGCACCGTGGTAGATACATGTCGCCTGGACGTGTGAGAACGGATCTCGAGGTCTTGTTGTCGTTTGTTTACGTATGGTTCGGGGCGTCGGTAGCGACCGGAGTTGGTGATTGGATCGTGATACGGGAAACGAATGTTGGGAGAGAGCGAGGATAGTCGGATCAGGATGTCGGGGTGCAGATGTGGAGTGCGGCGAGCAGACGCAGCATCGCAGAGGCCTAGGCAACAGCAGCGAGCGAGAGGTGAAGAGTGCAAACAGCAGAGTAGTGAGTGTGAGTTGAGCCACGCAAGCATACGCGCAGGTGGTCTGGCAGGTGCTGGAGGTGCATGGAAGCAAGAGCCACCAGCCGCTAGCCGGGCACGTTCTGAGGTAGCAAGCGCAACCTTCATTCCATTCACAGATTGCCTGATTCGGCAATCACTTCCAAAAGTAACCGTTTAAATGAAGATGCGTACATCACCTCCAGTCAATCTATCAACATTACAGTGTCGACTTAAGTACACGGTGGTAGTATAGATTCTAGAGGCAGCCTGTGCAGGTACGCTGTGCTAAGCTTTTTGACCTGCGTTAGTGCCGGTCTAGCGCAGTACTGTGGCAGCCGTGGTGAAGGTGCCCCCATATGCGAGTATATTCGGTACTAGAAGCATCTGTGAACGTGTCAACAAGATGTGAAACTGTGTCTATATCTAGACCATTCCGAGGTCCAGAACAAGGTTGGAAGAGCCGAGCTCGTCATCGTAATCTGACTTGCGGTATAGGGCGGGTTGGGACCGAGTACATAAAAGTAAAGATTGCCATATCCTTCACATACGACCATAGGACAATGAGAGTTAGGCTTCCCGTCCGCTCAGCCATATACAAGCATTGTACCGGCGGATTAGTAGTTAGGTGGGTGACCACTAGCGAATCCCCGCTGTTGTATGTTTTTGCTCTTTTTGCCTAGGTTCTGAGATGGAGTCGTCAGAGTCGCCGCTCTTCTTTCGCTCGATGTAGTAAGCAGATATACAGGGCGAGAGTTCTGCTCTATTCCTTTTTGCCTATGCAAGCGATCTCTTTTTGCAACATGGAGCGGTGGTCTGTTGCTTGATTAGACGCGCAAGCCTAGGTATTGTGCCACATCTCTTGTGACATGTTTGGTCTCATCATTTCGCTATTGGGTATCTCAGCTTGCGTGTCGACTCTCAAGTATCCCATCAAGTCAGATCCCTTCCGTCCATCTGGGGCATTCTCTGATCTCATCACTAGTACGAGGGCACTACCTCATACAAGAGGAAATATGAATAGGCCTGTAGCCTACATCAAGACAAAATCATCCAAAATAGATGATTTGACGTCAACGTAGACTCCAGGGTGTTCAGGTTTTTCCTTGAACGAGGTGCCACCGCAACCCCTCAGACCATGGGGCTACCTCCATTGAACGTGCCCTTGGCCTTGACACAAAGGTCCCCACCGACACTCTCCAGCGTCGCAACAATCTCCTGCTTATGTCTCGACGCGTCAATCTTCTTCGTCAAATCCTTCTGCGGCGATAACCATCCCAACCAACTCTTTGTAGGTTCCGCTTCGGGTTCTGGCGGCGGCTCGGATTGAGGGAGGTCAGGTTTCGAGAAGGAGGCACGAAGGATGTAGAAGTCGAGGCTGTAGGTTGGTTTGGCGTAGGTTAGGCTGAGAGAGTCTGGACGGTGAATTGGTTCTATCTTAAGTGTCAGTTTGAGCGTACTCCCTGCAGATACTTGAGAAGTATACACACCCACAATCCCATCCGGCCCTCTGACCATCCTCGCCATGATCTCTTCAAAGATGGTTGCGATAGCCCCACCATGCGCAACACCCGGCCATCCACTCATTCCTCCTCCTATCCAGACCACAGCCACCATCTCTTTTGTCTCTGCACTCCAGAATGCTCTTTGTACACCCAATCCCCGCGTGCCACTCATGACGCCCAATATGCCTTTCTTGCCTTCATTCTCTCTCCCAAAGTCCAGATCCAGCTCGAGCCACCCTTTGTACGCTGATATCTTCCGACTTGATCCAGGAGATGACGTTATCCCCGGTCCTGACCGGAGCGCTGTGTCGGTGTGTAGGTTGTATGATTGAGAGCGCAAGGATTGCACGATTTCGAGAGCATCGATGTCGCGCCGCAGAGAGTCGAGGATGATCTCGTCTTCTCTTGACCCAGGCTCTGGAAGACCGAGAGGCGCGGCAAAGTGGCGAGCACCTAGACCAGTCGTAATACCGAGGGCGAGTATACTGGCGTACCAGAAGTATGACCAGCGGATACGGGATTGGAGGGGGAGGGGAGCATCGCGATGCGCATGGTAGCTGGAGGAACGGAAGGTCCGGCTGGCGGATTGGCAGGATTGTTTGAAAGGTGCGCGAGTAAGAACGATGCGCGCTCGTGACATGCTGACCGCCGGCTGCAGGTAGCAATTGCTGAGAGATCTGGGAGGCTTCGATGATGGAGATATCGCGAATCGGTGGCAGGGATCACTTCACCGAGGCTGAAGGTTAGCGGCTTGGCATTGGCGAACACCTGGACTTCGCGTCCTGCCTTATCAACACCATCACCAAGTGCGCGTCGTTTTCGGGCTATGAACGCGACGATGCCTGCACTGCAAGCACTCTCCATATTGTCACTCTTGAGGCCTTCACGCGTCTTGTCATGGTGCACAAAACCTTTCCCTTAATAATGTATTCTCCTCGTATCTTAGTCTCTGCTACCTCTCTCCAAAATATCAGGAGCTCCGCAACATGTTTCTTTGCTTCATGCATATGCTCAAAGAACACGGTGTGAGCGCGGGCGTTTGCTCACCGTCCGTTTGCTAGCTCGGTGCATATCAAACTACACAACCTTCAACTTTTGCAACCTCACTCTCTCACTCTTACACTTCACTTCAAAATCACTTCACATCACATCCTATCGCGTCACACTACATCACAATCTATCTATATCGATAAACATGCCATCAGACGCCATCAAGATCGCCGCTATTGCGGCTTCACTCATCATCATTCACACCGCCATCATCAAGGCGCACGATCTGAGCTCCAAAGCTCTTGACAAGGCCAAAGAAGCTGGAGGTGAGAGGCATCTGCACAAAGTCATTTAGATATACTAACATAAATAGATGTCATCATAGAGATGGCGGCGACCCCGCGAGCTCAGGGTAAGGGCCTTGATCACGGTGCCCACATGCACACATGTCAAGGACTGAGTGCTTCAGGAGGAACTGTGTCAGTGACATTCCCGACATTCGTCAAGCCACAGGTATGCACACACACGTACAGATACACACAGATATACTAACATGCAAAAGTAAAATATTACCGTTATTCACGTCCTTGGTACAATATCATGCAGGAAGATGGAAGCTAGGGCATGCGGGAGAGAGGGCGAACCCAGATAGCAAACAAGATACCCAGACTCAAAGCACAATACATCACTCTTTGGTATATTGTGGTATTTGGTAAAGCTGTATGCACTTCGATCAGAGCACATCGCGAATAGTTGCGCTTCGCGCAGAAAATCTTGCGCGCCCAAGAGCATGTATGTCTTCGTTTATCCCGCGGCGTAGATTCTGATACCGCACATCCTCCCATGTGTTAAACCTCATGGATTCCGATCCTCAACATGGACAATGTCCAACTCCTCCGCCTTAACACCATGGAACATGCGAACCTGCTCTGGTCAGCCTCGAACCCTCCGCGTTGACACCCTCATGGGACGAACACCACATACATTCATCCCTAGCAAATCTGGCGGCGCTTCTCCAAACTCGCCCATCCTAGGATCAAGCCAGACTGCACTCCCACACCTACTACAGAACCTATGTAGAACCCTCTTGACACCAAATGAATAGTCTCTCAACATGTCCTCACCGCTCTTTACTTGTAGCTGCGACCGTTCGGGGTACACGAGCAAGTAGCCATTGCGCGTGCAGATGCTGCAGTTGCACGATACAACCTTTCACTGGGCCAGCGGCGGCGAGAGTAGAACTGAGTACTGTACGCTACCGCAGTGGCAACTCGCTGCGTAGGTCTGACAATTCTGCGGGTCGAACGCAGGAAGAGGAGGTTTGGTAGGTGAGGATTCGGTCATGGTTGATGGTGTTGGTAGTGCAAAAGGTGGGGTTGGAGTATAGCTGTTGAGTAGGGTAAGTTGACCCTCAGAGTGAAGCGCAATGCTACATATACTTTGTTTGATATAGGTACGAGAAGGAGACCGGCGCGGATTTTTGTCGTTGCTAGAAGGGAGCTATCGGTTGGCGAAGAGGTAGGCTAGATGGGAAGAAGTCTCCGAATCCGCTTTCCGGCGAGTGTATGTCTCCGATGCCGTTGGTGTCGTTAAACATACGGAAGGATGCTACCGACCATAGCTCAATGCGGTGGTACGAACGAGCGTTATACTGCGTCAGCGTCTAACACCTTTCGCCAACTAACAGCACTATCGGTTCTATTAGGGGCTCACATGGCCTACCAAATATTACTGCGCAGTAGTATAAGCTGTTAGCTATGCTATGGACACTCTAGGGTCAAACTATCCAGCTACACTAAGACTATCAGGACAAGCAAATGGCCTTCTGAATGCTCCAATCATATCGCGAGCATCAACGAAGCGTCACAGCTACTCGATTCATGGAACCACGACTACAAGAAACGACTACACTCCCAATAAACGGATTTACAATTACATCGGCATGACTCTTTTACAAGCTCCATCGCTCCTCGGAGTGGCTCAGCCATCCCCCGAAATCTCGTCCTACCATGCAATATATCTCGCACCACCCATCTCCAAAAAGCAAAAGCAACACGACGAAACACATTGCACCACCCACCCACATACGCATACACAAAAGACGCATGTTTCACCGCTTCCGGCATATACGCCAGCTCAAGCGCCTCCCACTCTAGTGCTTCCCACAGTTCCCAGCGATCCT